AACTGACCTATATTCATTCTTCACTTATTAGAGCTCAATTGAAGCATTAAAATATTACAATAAGAGCTAAAAGAAAGCAGTAAAAAAGACGATAAGAAGTCCTCATACGTCAATATACTGACACATGTATTGGCACGTGTATTCTCCTTGTCATATAGGAATAAAGTATCATCACCAACACTTGGGTTTGAATACAGACTGCAAGAGAGAAAGCACAGTCAATATCCGCTTGAAATAATTAGATCCTGTGAAAGTTAAAGGAAATACGTGTGCGTATATATATATATATATATATATATATATTTATTATGACATTTCAGCCCTTCAGTATTTGTCTATATTTCTGAGATGAGGTATTTTGAACACTATTTACATTATTCAGACTATTGTCCTCATCTTTGTCGCCATATTTATTACGTTTCAGCTTTTGTATGCTCCTGCCTTCTTCAAGTGTTTGGAATGTTGGACTGAACCCTTTTTTTCACTTACTGGGGTAGACTGTTCTAGTTCCATGTACCATGTTTTAATGGATGTCAGTTATCTGTTATCTCCTGTTAATTCCCCTCTTCAATTTCTCCACTGCCTTAACCGGTTATTGAACTCACACTCTTTGGGTCTTGTCACTGGATTTAACCAACACCTTTATCCACACAGTTCAACATTCCAACCACCTGAAGAAGGTCAGAGCATATAACGGCTGAATAATGTAAATGGTGTACATAATACCTCAGCTCAGAAATATAGACAGATACTTACAGGACATATCAAGCTTTATGGAAACATTGTTGACAATTATATATTTAGTAGCATAACAAATAAATAAAAATAATATAAATTTTGATGTTATATTTAATTTGTTGTTAGGTATTTTTCATTTTCTCCTTTGTTATTGGCAGCATTTTTAGAATACTTTGGCTGCAATGCTAAGCTTCCTAAGTTGAACAAACTGGAGCTATTTCGCTTACGCTTTGTTACCTCTCTTTTCTATTGTTTTTTTAGATCACTTTCTTTCAGTCATTTTGATGGGCAATAGTGAATTTCTGAAATTTAGAATGATGTTATTCCATTTCACAAATAAAACCTCTTCTGATGCCTTGATCTAATTCTACGTCCTTCTCTTTATCCTTTCCTCAATCACGTCTCTTTTCTCTTGCTCCCACTCTCCATAACCCCTTGCATGCTAGTGACACTCATGCTTTTCTTGGGGTGAAATGCTTTTAAAAAAAAAAAAAAGCATGTAAAAAGGAATATTTTTAATTAATATACAATCAAAAATGAAATGCTTTTGTCAAAAAAAAAAAAAAAACCTTAATGATTTCCCTATAATTATGTAACAATAATGTAATGATATTCCGCAGACAAATCTACAACTTATGTTACTTTATCTTATTGTATGGTTACAAACTATCAACATAAATTGAGCTTGAAATATTGTACAATCAGCTCTAATTTTTTTTAAAATACTTGGATATGAAATAATGAGTAATTTGCAGTGAAAAAACTAATTTTCGATTTTTTTTGTTTTTCCTCCAAACGTGTCACATGGCCATAATCCACTAAGAAGAGATCTAAATTGTGGTTAAACTGTACAAAGTTCACATTTTTCTTCTGTTTTTGTTTGCATCCTTTTATCTGTTTTGGTCATAATCAAGAACTAAATGCTTCCTGTATCAGAGTATGGTTACATCCTAGCATTCTTTAAAAATATTAGTACCACTTACTAGTATGATTTGGTTGCCAGTCATAATTTACCAGAAATCTGGTGCTAGGAAAATATTTAATAGTTTCCCACTTACCAGGTACTGATATTAGCATTAGTGTATCTATTGATACAATAACACTGAATAAACAGAAATGAAAGACAAGATACACCATATTAATAAATACAAAAATATGTTACAAATCACGTGTCCCAAAATAGACGAATGTACAGTTTGTTCATGTTGATCCAAGAACGAGCATGAAAAAACAAAAAAAAAACAAAAAAAAACGAAGTTAAAAAAGGTAAACACAGAAAATGCCTTACTTTCTCTGGTTCCCTAGATGAGGTGAAATAACATGCCTCACTGAAGATGGAGACAAGGGTCTCATTCCACTCAACCGAATGTAGTAAAAACATAATGTCCATTTTCTACACATGTGAACTTAAGGAAAGAGTGATGTTAATGTTTCTATGAATGAGAACAAAAAGACTCCACAGGAAGCAAGTTTAGTAAAGGGCTGAATTCACATGTGACCAACAGACACACACGGTTCCAAGCCCTGCCGCCAATCCAAGGGAAGACAATGATTAACTCCCTACAGGAACATTACATTTCAAATTTAAATACATGTATATTGTAATTATCTCTTTTCTACCCCCCACCTTTGATTTAAGGCAGGGATTGGCAACCTTTTGGAGAGAGTGGGTCATAAAGCTATGCAGTGTCTCAAAGGAGGGCCATGATATCAAATTTGCTATAATAAATTCTCTCAACCTCGGACCACTCCATTCAGTAGGCTGCCTTGATCTGGAACAAAAAAAAACAAAATTAATGTTATATTATTTAAACCAGTTTTCTTATTTTATTGCAGTAATAACAGGATAACAACTAATACAATCAACAAAAAATGCAAATTCCTCACTAAAAATAAAATACAATAACTTCTTCACATCAGGTGAAATATTTGTCGATAACAGGAGCAAAATATCATCAAGGTGGTCATCACCCAACTTTATTCTTAAACAACTTTTAGTACATTTCCTTTTTGAAAAAAAAGTTGTTCACAAGCATATGTACTTTCAAATAATGATATAATCATTTTCACATTATTCAATAGGATTTTATATTTTCCATTTGGCAAAACATATTTCTTGTAGAAGTCAGCAGTGGATTCAGAATGAAATTTTGATTCCAAAAATTTGTCATATAGTAAGTCGATTAACTCCAACTGATATTTTTCTGCCACTTGCTTCACAAATTAATTAGATAATTAGTGTCCACATTTTAAGTTGGCAGGCTGAACAGAAATTTTTCATGGACTGGATGATTACTGGAGGTTGCTGACCCATGATTTAAGGTATAATTTAAGGTAGGTAGTTATTCAGGTGTGTGATATGAATGTAAGAGATGTTAGCAGGAAGTGAAAATTCTGAGCTTATTTTGTAGTGAATACAGTTGCAGTTTTCACTTGCTGTTAGTGATCAGTGTTTGGCACAGTTACACTCTAGGCCAAATATTTTGGGAAATCATCTAAATTTTTTTTTTTTTTTTTTTTTGATCCGAGATTGAAGTTGGTCAGAGTAAAGAAATGAATTAGACACTGGTTTGGAAAAAATGACCAAAGACTTATTTTCATTTACAAGATATGAAAATGTCGCTGATAAGTCGTATAGTGTAGCGTTCGAATGTACAAGTTGTGAAATGAGAACATAAAAGAGGAGAATGCTTAACCGGCTGACTGCTTGTCAGTTTGGTTTGTTTTCAACCTCAATGGATCATTTAATGCTGACATTTTTTTTTTTTTCCTTGTAATATTTTTGTTTTGTCAAAAATCCATTTCTGTTAATGTTTTTTTTCCTCAAAAATGTATAGCTGGTAATATTATTGTTTTCAAAAACGTATAGCAGGTAGTTTTTTTTTTTTTTTTAAAAAAACGTATAAATGGTAATATTATTTTTTTTAAGAAACATACAGCTGGCAACATTATTTTTTCAAAAACGTATTATCAGACACCTTGCTGTTGGACATAGTTTATCATCATACCCAGGATGCGAATGTAATCTGAGTGTTAACTATTTGCCCATAGCTGAGACCCTAACAGGTGCTACCACCCCGGGTCAAGGTGGTTCCATGCTTCTCAAAACCTTCTGATCAGAGGCTTTGCTGTTGGATGCAGTTTATCGTCATGCCCAGGACGCGGATGCAGTTTATCGCCATACCCAGGACGCGGATGCAGTTTGGGATTGTCACAGTGATAGTGGAGTCCGTTCTCTTTCTGTATTTAGAGAAGGTCGTTTTCACAGCCTAATGGTCAGACGGGCAGTAATCCATGCTCTTGGGTAGCCTCTATGGTTAGCATGTGTGTGAAATCTCTCTCTTTGCTCTCTGTCTGTCATCCAGTTTTTTTTATAGCCTATATAAGGGAAACACATGGACATAATTGTAGACATCTGGCCAGCAATCTGGCATATTTTTGCTTGTTTTAAAATTTGTTTTGAGTATAGTACAGCATGAGTGTGACTTAGACAAAAATTGGTATATAGAGATATACGTTTTCTAATAATTGCATAAAGTTGGCTTTAATTTGTTATCTCTAACTATAAGTAAATTGTGTTTTTCTGCTCCAATGTCACTAGAACATGAAGCGTTAGAGGGAGTAAAGGTGAATGAGACTCTTTTAGTGAGGAGGAAAGGACAAAAAGGGACAGGGTTCAAGAAGACAGAAGACAGTAATTGACATTGCATTTAAATTTTTGAAGATTGTAGTTATCAGGGAAGCAAAAAATTGGAAACAGCTGAGAAGTGTGAGTAAAGAAATTGTTTGAGTAGATGTGGTGATTGCATTTAGCTAATTCAACTGTAAAACCGTGAGACCTAATTGCCAATCTAGTAGCACACTTCAATTCATCTAGTCGGGTCACCAGGGAAAAAAAGTTAATCAGAGCAGTTGCCATGAAAATATTTGTAGAATTGCCTAAAAATTAAAGGTTGCCTACATTTTAAAACTAGCTAGCTCATTTCAGACCAAAGGGACATTTTCTTCCTAATGGGTTTAATTGTACATTCAGTAATAATAATGTCAAAATAAGCCCATTACAGAAGAATTCCTTAAAATTTTAGCTCTTTTTGCTTGATCTACCTTGTTGTCTTATAGTAATCTTAGGGCGAGCGGATTTTAAATTTTAGGTACCCGCCTCTTGATAAACTCTGAGGCCATGCACAAATGGATTAAAAACTTTCAGCATCTTAGCTTAATAGGAATGAATTAAACAAAAGAAGGCTTATGACCACATTACATGAAACACCAGTTCCTGTACAATAACTGAAGTTAAGCAACATTGAGCCTCATCAGTACCTGGATGGGTGACCACTTGAGAATACCAGATGCTATAAGCTTGAATGTGTGGGTGGTGTAATTAGCCTGGAATTGTTAATCAGAGAACAGTTCCAATTCCAGCTAGGGAAAGATATGAATCCACCTCTTCTTCCTCCAGCTATGGGTTAATTAGTAAAACGTGCATCACTAAACCATTATCTCAAAAAAAAAAATTCTTACAATCAAAAAATATTTTCTGGCTTTAAATAACCTACAAAGGGTTGATATGCCATAAAAAACGAATCCATTAAATAAAAAGAAGGTATGAAATTTGCTAATTATTAAAACCAGAGAGTAACCACAAATGTTTGTCCTATAGTTTACATCTACACATTACCAAATGCCATCCTCTATATTGCCTTGTGCCATCCCTTACAACTCATGGTAGATATTGAAAGGAAAGTGATAGGCAAAAAAAAAACAACAACAAAAAAAAAACAAAAAAAACAAATGTACAGGGCAGTTCAAAAGTCAGTAATATAATTTTTATTTCAACACCCTGTGGGGTATTATCATCAAGGAGAGAGTTTCACATGAATGATACCACAATACCCATCAGTTGAAGGATGCCATTTGGAAAGCCTTTGTAACAATCAACAAAGCATAGCTTTGTTAAATATCACACAGGACATGGCACCTCAAAAATGATTGTGTTCATAGAGACCTTCTCAATGTGTGACAGTGTCAAAGTGAATAAGCTGAATCCAGTACATGTGCTTTGTATTACTACTTCTATTATTCTCGTTACTTTGGTAGGTGTTGACAGGACTTCCGGACCACCTTGTGATTTACTGGCAAGATATCGAAATAATCATTGAAGGACAAGTAGGGATAGAAAGGAATCAAAATTGCAATACATTAAAATTCTCTATGAAAAGATATAGCAAGAGAAAACTAAAAAGACAAAAAAGGATACACAAGAAAATATTTGCACAACCTTGAGAACAATCTGTTCATGTCACATTTTAATAAAAACATGAATGGGCACAGAAGATTGAAAGGGATAAGGGAGAGGATACGAAGGTACAGTTAAAGGGTGAAAGAAGAGCTGAAGTATGAGATAACTGATTAGCTTAATTGTGAATATAGATTTTGATGATAAAGTCCATAAAGATAGGAAAATATCTTTGAACTTTGAACTCTCCAGATTTTGACATCACACAAAAATGCGTCACTCATGGCCCATACGTTGAAATGATAACAATCGATCAAACCCCATTATGTATAGATAGAGCTTAGAAAAAAAACTTGTTGGCCCACTTTTTACTTTGAATCATATAGAAACATCCTATTATTTGTCGACAGAAGTTAACATTGTTGCCAAAGAATATTTCAATACAATTTGAAGTTATACCAATCTCATATTGGGAACATCTTTTATTTTGGGGCACTATAAAAAGTTAAATAATGCAGGTATACAATCTCTTTGTCAAAACCTTTGAGGTCAAACCTTTTTCAGAATATGGAATTTTTCAGTTTGTAATGACATGTACTGTCATTACAAACTGAAAAATTCCATATTCCCCCAACTTTTTGCTGAAATCGAAAATTAGACAAAAGACTTTGTCAAAAATTATGACTGCCATTATTTTTCAAAATTAATCAGAACTTCCTTTTCTGTTGTTTTTTTTTTTTTTTTTTTTTTTTTTAAGCTTCTAAAACTTTTATGTAAGATTTATGACAAAGTTTCTAACTACTTCTAAATTAATAAACAACTTAATTAATACAAAACAATAATAAGCTAAAACTTAGCAAAGGAATTTATTCTATCACCTATTGCCACAAAGAATACATAGAAGAAACCTCAAGGAATTTAAATAAATTGATTTCTACAACCTATCAACCCTTTGCAGGTTATTTAAAACCAGAAAATATTTTAGATATTTTTTTTTTTTTTTTTTTTTTTTTGAGATAATAATGATTTATTGATAGAAGTGTTACTAATTAACCCATAGCTGGGGGCAAAAGAGGTGGATTCATACCCTTTCCTAAGGGCATTTACATGTAAATGAATATAATGAATCCAACTGGAATTGGAACTTGACTCTCCAATTAAAAATAAAAATTAAATTAAAAATTCTGAGCTATTGTCCATTACACCAACTGCACATCAAAGTTTAAAGCACCTTGTATTCCCAAGTGGTTGCCCAATTAGGTACTGACAGGGCTCAATGTTGCTTAACTCCAATGATCATACAGGAACTGGTGTTTCAACATTATGTGGCCATAGACATTTTTACGAGAATTCTTACTTTCAAACCTTGATAGCTCACAATCATTTACGCAGACACTGTTTGCTACTTCCACAACAAATGTTCAGACAAACTCTGTTTTTAGTGCCACCAGCTGAGAGCTTTACAGCCAAGAGCCACTTTGCTACGCCCACAAGGATGAATCACCCTCATTTCCAACATATTCCATTGGTTATAAGGATATCTGACTTGGACAGCTTCATCCCAAGAACCATTACTTTGTAGAACAGACTCCTGCCCTTCCTAACATTACAATCTTTACCTCTTAAAGTCCAGGGTCATTGATTATCTATCCTCCATATCCTCATAATTTTCAATTCCTACTTGCTCCACTTACATTAATCTCATGCACCTCATTCAATAACTCTCTGTCTTGACAGTCTCTTGGGCCTTGTATTGGGCGAACATGGATATAAAATAAGAAAAAAATATTATTTATTGTTAAAAGCGAAAAACTGATTGTTAAAGAAATATCCTGTCTCCCACAAGTTGAAATGCAAATCCAGAGCGTTCTCTTTCCTTTAGTAGAAGCCCCTCCTTGACTGACCATGTCTTCAGGGGTGTAACCTTATTCACCACACTGGGCCAATTTCAGGCTGGTGAGGCTACCCAACCCACAGTTGGGGAGGACAGCTGTTGACTCCGAGGAGTACGTCCACTCTTTAACAGTTCTTGTTTTTTATTCTGCCAGGGTCCCATTTACTCTTCACACAGGAGAAGCTGTCATTGCATTCTAGACCAACTTACACATGGAGTACCTTGCTGATCAAGCAAAGTTGAATAGTGCCTTATAAACACAAATCTTTCTCAGACTCTAAACATTTGACTCGGTTTCACATCCTCACCTAAAAGCAGTTTCTAAAGAAGTGGTGAATTCTTATTCATTAATATGACAGATTTTATTATTTAAATGTTATTTTTAGTAAAAAATATCATTTAAGTAATAAAATCTGTTGGATTAATAAATAAAAAAATCCATTATTTTCTCAGAAAAAAAAATATACATAACATATATTTCCACGTATGAGGCAACCTACAGATAAGACAAGAGGTAGATTTTCATGATTTTATCTTATATCCATAGTATAAGAGGACCAACTGGGACCCATATGACAAAACTGTAAATGGTGATGTTTATGACGAGCTCTTTGCATCAGATGCTGTGATGATCATAGTAAATTTGAAGGATTTTAATTACATATGTGGGTAAATTCTGTTTTATTATTCTATAATGTGAAATAAAGATTATATGACACATGTTTTGTGGCTTAACACCACAACAAAAAAAATGCTGTATAATGTATGTGATTACAAAAAAAAAATTTGTATGTTATACTCTAAATTCTAAATGTTGTTGTTATTTAACATGACAATGATAATGAACTGTCCTGAGTAAGACGTTAAGCTACGTCCAACAGCAAGGCCTCTGATCAGGAGGTTTTGAGGAGCGTGGAACCATCTCTTAATTGCTGATGTTCCCAGGTCCACCCTGACCTGGGGTGTTAGCACCTGTTAGGGTCCCAGCTATGGGCAAATAGTTAACTATTACCAGCAATACTTTTTTGAAAAATATTATTACCAGGAATACAATTTTAAAGGAAATATATTACCAGAAACAGATTACAAAATATTACCAGCAATAAAAAATTTTTGTTGGCATTAAATAACCCATTAAGGTTGATATGCCATAAAACAATATAAATCAAACCAATATAAATCAAACCAATCTAAACCAAAGAATACATATTCTATTCATATGAATCTATCCTAAAAATGTTGTCGGCATTAAATAACCCATTGAGTTTGATATGCCGTAAAACAAAATAAACCAAACCAATGATAATGAAAGTTAATTTGAAATATAGATTGTATGTTATCATAAATGTCATTATTTAACAATATGAGAAATAATGATTGGTGTAAATGCACCTATACCTCTAATGTAATAATAGTAATAATGGCACAAACATAATAGCATACTTAACCAGTGCTGATGCACCACAAGATTTAAGGTTAGCTTTTTGTAATTATTGCATTAAACGACCCCCTATTTTGGGAGGTATTTTTAAGGTTTAAAAGTTGTCTCATGTTGAAATATACAGTGCGATGGATAAATTGACACCTTATTTTAACAGATATATTTACCAAAATGACACAAAAAAAAATATCTTTAAATAGTAAAAAGTAAATTTATTCAATAAAATCGACATTGGCTTCAACCACTACCTCCAGATGACTTTGGAATCTCCAGCATCTCTTCTTAGTATTTAAAGATATTCGTGTCATTTTGGTAAATATATCTGTTAAAATGTGATGTCAGTGTTATTTTCATTTTTGCATAATTTAGTCAACAGTTTGTCCAACATACCCGCTATGTATGTGCACACACACACACACATATATATATATATATATATATATATATATAATTTTATTTTATTACATCTCCCCTGTAAATAAAATGAACTGTTCCACTATTATTACTATACAGTATGAATATCAATATTTCAATTATGCAATACTCAGTTTTCCAATCAGCACCTGATGATTGCATTTTGCATGAAACTTAGTTGTGCCACTGGTCAGTAAAAAGAAAATATATATTTATTAAAATACATACACACATACATTCATACATACATACATACATACATAGAGGTAACATCAATCAGCTAAGTGACAATTTTACCCACATTGATCATATATATATATATATATATATATATATATATATATAGTTTTAATGCATGCTATATTTATGAG